GAGTAGTGTTTTGTTTATCATTTTTTATGTTGGAACCCTTTATGAAGTTAAAGATGGTAATCATTTACCATTCATTGTAAATAGTGTTTCCAAGCTGTTATTTATGTTTTAATCTTGGTTAACTGTATTTTAATGAATAGATTAGATAGTTAAATACATCAATCCTTTTTTTTTGTCTTTTTTTTTTTTTTTTTTGGTAACTTTAAATTTAGAATATCTACCTGTCAGAAGGTAGGCATTCTAAATTTAAAGTGACAAAAAAAGAAAAAATGATAAAGGATTGACAGTTAACCAAAATTAAAACATAAGTAACCGTTTGGAAACACTATTTACGATGAATGGCAAATGATTACTATCTTTAACTTCATAAAGGGTTCCAACATAAAAAATGATAAGCAAAACACTACAACTCTGATAAAACAAAGGTAATTAACATAGTATTAGCAAAGATAAAATCTAGGTAAACGTGACAGTAGGTTTTAAAATGTAAATTAAAACCACAGAAGTTTATTTATATACTTTTTAAAAGTATCATTCTCAATTTGGAAGTGAAAAAGCACTTTGCATTGATGGTGTCAGGAGCTCTGGTAGCATAGTGCCTAAGGCACTTGACTGTTAACCAGAAGGCTGGAGGTTCAAACCCACCAGCCACTCCTCTCGGAAGGAAGGTTGGGCAACTGACTTCCCTAGTGATACCGCCTCAGAAACCCAAGGAGGGGTCGGATCTGACTCCACAGCACGTAACAACAACAACATTGATGGTGACTGGGTAAATTAATTTAATCACTTTTTAAAATCTTAAGAAAATGCATCAGGAATGTAAAAAATGTTTATGACTTTGAATCTTGGAATTGTAGTTTTGAAATCTATCCTAATAAACTTAATTGTAGGAAAAAAATGGGAAGGAAGGTTGGACAATCTACTTCCTTGGAGGTACTACCTCAGAAACCCAAGGAGGGGTCGCTATGAGTCAGATCCCACTTGATGGTAATGAGTTTGATCAGTACAGATTTCTTTTCTTATAAGTAATGAGGGAGCTCTGGTAGCATAGTGGCTAAGACACTTGCCTGCTAACCAGACAGCTGGCGGTTCAAACCCACCAGCCACTCCTCGGAAGGAAGGTTGGGCAATC